CATTACAAATTCATAACAATTTTTTATATGAAATTATACATTTTTTGCCGCCCCCGGTTTTATCTTACACATAATTATCGATAGGTATAAATATATTTAATGGTTAACTAAGTGGGTCGGATTGGTAGCGGGTTAACACTGCGGTTGTTGTGCTCGCCGCCTTCGGGAGACCGGGCAAACAATAAGGTAGATGCGGAGATGTGTGTGACTGCAGTCGGCCGCCCCCGCAGTTTGCTGCCGGCGCGCTGCCGACCGTTTCGCTTCGCTGCTTTCGGCGGCGGACAACGATTTTACGCCTACACCCCGCACAACGTCACGCTCTGACGCCGCCCCCTACGCCCCATTTCCACGAGAGCGCAAATACTAATACCTGCAATGGGTATTGCTGTGTTTGTACAATCCGGCAGCGGGATGTAGTATTCGGGAAAGCTCGAGAGCTTTTTCAACTCCATTTGGAGTACAAGGATTCGGGAATATACTCTGGTCGTGCTGTAAAAAATTTGCGGAACTTTGATTCACGATAACTTGGGTAGTTTTTGATGGATTTTGATGAAATTTTGTAGTATGACGTAGAAATATACGGAGTGTAATATTGTAAAATAAAAAATTAAAAATTAAGGTTATGTTGTGTGATATTTGAGGTTAAAGTTGATTACCGTACTTTTGACGGGTTTAATGTTTCTTTAACTTTAAAACAGTATATCTCAATCAATTTTAAACATATGATTATGAAATTTTGTAAACTAATAGCTAAATACTTGATTAACATAATATATCATTTTTGAATCAAAATATTAATAAATACCAAAAATATTAACGTTTAAATTTGGTATATAATTTATGGCAATACTAAATATTACTTATATTTTGACAGCGAATAACTCAATCACTTTTTTACCAATTTTGATAAAATTTGGTATGCAGTTATAAAATAATATTATTTATATATTGACAAAATTTTATAAAAAGATTTTTAATAATAGCTGAGATATTCACAAATAAACTTGATAATATTAATTTATACATTTTATTCCTTTTTAAACATTAACTACATTATTTTATAAAATATTTGACCAAAATTCTGCTTACTTATACAAAAAGACCCTTTCTACCCGCTGTCCAAATTTTATTAGAAAATATTAATTACTCTAGGAGTTATTCATGATTAAACTTGTCAGAGTTTTTGCATCAATTTTCTCGCATTGTGCTGCCAGCTACCCGATCAGATTATATACGTACGTCTAAATCGGAGTGTAACAAATGTTGCCAACAGTAAAGTTGCGAACTGCAAACACACATAAGCCCCGGCGGGTGCTTGGCGGCGGCTGGCTGGCATGGGGGGCGGGCGGCGAGAATGGAGTGCGCGCGAAGTTTTTCAGCTGCATTCAACACGGCCGTTTCTCATCCGAGCGATAACGACCGCCGGCGACCGGCGACCGACTACCGCCTCCGTCGTTCGCGGACGCGGGGCAAAAAGCGCACACGAGTGGCATGTCGGCGCGTTTCCACCGATTTAATTCGTCCGCCTCCGACACTCCGACCTGAATCCGGTGACATTTATATTTATGTTATGCGCGACGAATAACACGAAATGTGTCACGGGTTAAACTGCACTTAGTGCAAGATTTACTGGAATAATAGACTTTTTAGTGATTTGCAGCGATAACTCACGTGTTTTAGAGTAAATTTGATCAAATTTGGTAGATTTATAGCTAGGAATATTTTAAATATATTTACAACATTTTATTTTATTATCTTAAATAGATTTTGAGATATTCGGAATCAAAATTGAACAAAATAAAAATTTTGTATTTTTTGAAATGTTTCATTAAAATGTTAATAACTAATTCAATTTTTAACCAAATCTAATGAAATTTTAAACATAAACAGTCAAACACCTAAGAAAACCTCTACGCTACTTTATAATTAAAATTAAAATCATATTACATGTTTTATTTGAGGTTAAACTCAAAATTTTATGTTTTACATTCATAATTTTATCAAAACTTTAACGCAACATACTTTTCCTTGTAACTCCAGTAATTTTTGATTAAATTTATTCAAACTTTGCTTATAGAAAGTCAATATTATGATAATACTATGAACAAATTTTTAATAAAAACCGCCTCATAGAACCCAAGATATTCAAGGTTAAACTAACCTCTTTTTTCTTTTTACAGTAAACATTACAGTAAACTGTAATTTAAGTTTTATGTAAAATTTAGCATTAACGTTTATTCCCTCGCCGCCATGATGGTGTTATACATTTATAAGTGTAAATATGTATATTGTGGACAATGTAGCCGGGGTTAAACAGTCGAGGCCCGTGCGTTTCTTCGAAGCAGCGCGATTTAATTATAAAATGAATCTTCTTTACGAGCAGGATAAACACCAGCCAGCTCGGCAGGAATTTTAATGCTCCGCTCTTCATCGTCAAAGCAAGCAAGCACAGCCGCCCCCGCGCCTCGCTTTTTCCCTTCTGTGCTATTATTCGCGCCTCGCTGGGGTATTTACTCCGCGCTGCTTTTATCTTCGGTTTTAAGCTCGGCACAGCCGGTGCAAGATTTCGTATTTTCTTACGTAAGTTGCAAAAGTGTCGCAAACAAACCGTAACTTAAAAGTTGTAAACGTCTTCATTAAGTGTGGTTATGTTAGGAGTTATGTATAAATTTGTTGATATAGGTGCCACAGGGAGAGAAAATTAAAAGTTATGTGTTTTGGATTGTAAATTGGTTAGATTTTGATTAAATTTTGTGAAAATTATTGATTTAGGCATTTAATTAATTGATTTGTCATTTTTGGAGTAAAATATTGATAGAATTTGACTTATTTAAGGTTAAACGTGAAAATTACACAATATTTTACGAGAAATTTAACAAATTCATCGTTTATCATTAAAATAATGATTAAAATGTTATTACTGAACTAGTTCTTGTGAGTAAGTTGCCAATTCAATTAATTTCTTGTTTCTTTAGTCTATTAAGTGTCAAATTCGTTCAAAAGATTACCAATTTTAGTTTAAAGCAGTGAGAAATGCTAATAGTGCATTCTAGCGCCATCTACGTGTGATTTATATAACTAATACTATGATTTAATCTTTGTATCAATTTTCATCCTTAATTTGAGGCCTTTTCAGTTAAATATTTGCCACAAAAAGTAGCCTACGTTACTCTCCATAGTCTGAAATATCTCCACACCAAAATTTATCAAAATTGGCTGAGTAGTTTTGCGTAAAAACGTAAAAAACAAACAAAAACACTTTTTTTTCCTTTAACACATGAATTACGATTTTAATCAAACAATTATTAGTTTAAATAGAATATATTCAATCCCAAAAGTCTAAAAATACTTGAAATAATTCCCATTCTGTTCTAAATGTTTCTTTTTATAACAAAACTTTCATATTTAAGATTATATTTAATCAAGTGGAATGTGCGAAAGAATTAAACGCAAGTACGTCCTTAGATTTTACGCGGTGCGCTGTGTTCGCGGTCGCATTAAGCTAATCCCCGCTTTTGTTTTACTGGCATGTGCTTCTGTTTGGCGGGCTTTAAGCTTTAATGAAATTGCCACGTCGGAGCCGCAATACCGAACAACCTGCGCTGCTGCTGCGCTTATTCTATCCTGTATTACCAATAAAGCGTTCCGAGCATTTTTCACCGGAAGAGATCCTTGGACGCCCACGCGAATACATTTTCCACATTTCAACCCGCTAACGACTATCGAAAAAGTATGCAACCACTTAAACATTCATCTCGCGCTATAAATAACTCAAATTGTAGGTTATATTAGTTTTATGAAATGTTGCAATAAAATGTTAATAACTAATTCAATTTTCAACCAATCGTTATGAAATTTTAAACATAAACAGTCAAAAACCTAAGCAAACCTCTCTGCTACTTTATAATAAAAATAAAAATCATATTATATGTTTAATTTGAGGTTAAACACAAAATTTTATGTCTTACGTTCATAATTTTATCAAAACTTTAACCTAACATACTTTTCCTTATAACTCTGGTAATTTTTGATTAAATCTATTCAAACTTTCAATATAAAAAGTTAATATTATGATAATACTATGTACAAATTTTTAATAAGAACCGCCTTATAGAAGCCAAGATATTCTAACGACTATCGAAAAAGTATGCAACCACTTAAACATTCATCTAACGCTATAAATAACTCAAATTGTAGGTTATATTAGTTTAGAATGTTTTAAGTGTTCTTGTAAAAATAATTAAAACTTTGCAACTCGTTAATTCCGCGTTAAAGTCGCCTCATGTTTTTCCTAAATTATTTACGCAGTCGAGTGGCTGTCGCTTGAAACATAAATCCTCGTGCAGCTACAATTAATTAATATAACGTTAAATTAAACTCGAGCGTCGGCAGGCAGTGGCTGTAATAGATAGCGCGTCGTCTTGAGAGAGTCTTCGCTTGACACGTGACAACGGACAACGATGACAGTGTAACGATAGCGTTCACAGCTCGTTTTGGTCATGTTGGCGTAGGCGGCGGTGGCGGCGGCCTGATAAGACGTAATTACGCTGACGGAATTGTGTACAGCGCACAACGAGTCATCAACTGCAAACTAAATTTGCGATAAACATGTTTTTAAGTGTTTACAATGGTTTTTTAATTAGTAGTTTTGCGCCTTGATGTCAGCAACCAAATATTCATTAACGTATACTTAATTATATGCAGTAATTCTTAAATCCTCTTTATTTTAATGCTTTAAAAGCTGTTGGGAAGTTTTAATAAAGAATTTTACGCGTTTTTTACAGTTTTAATTAAAGCTTTGCGTTTAATTGTAATTTTTAGTTTTGTTGGGTTCCGCTTCATTCAGAAGTTTTCTTAATTCAGAAAAGTTTTATTCCAAATGCGCTTTTCAAGCTTTATTTGCTTTTAATGACGTCGTTAATAAAGTTTGTGAATTTTCCGCATTGGAAATATTTGCGCAAGGTTCTTTGAAGGGCGATTGTAGATTGTCAAAAGTCAACTGGGGTTCTGGAGGATGTCAAACGGTGTGAATTATGACAACAACGTGCCGCAACATCGATTTCTTCGCGTTACTTTATTAAATGTTTGAATTTATAACAGAAAGCGAACATGTTACGACTCACACAACGCCTCATTAGGAAAAGTCTCAGCCTGACGTTCGTTTCACAGCAACGTGTGCTTGTAAATCTCAAAGATCATCACACGGTTTTCAACTTTCCAAACCTAACCTCAGCGGCGTTTTATTCCAAAGGTAAAATATTAATTATTAACAAAATATTCATTATATACATTAAATTTTATAAATATTCGATAGTATAATAGTTTTTTGATAATTTTAAGATGTTAAAGTTGAATCACCACTTTCCAAACTGCTGTTACAAGACAAACCGAAGGAGGAACATATAGCAGAGCCAGTCGAAGAACAAGAAAAGAAAGAAACCAGGGAACAATCATGGCGACGCATGAAACTAACATTAATGGTGTTTGGTGTATCGTTTCTAGGTTTCGGTGGTTATCTGATAGTCACACTAGGACAACCCAAAGTGGATGAGGATGGTGTGGTTCTTGATGATCCATTTATTAACATGCCAGTTGTGAAACAATATGTTTTGAGGACACTTAGTGAACTCAATTATTACCAACAGGTAATTTATAACTCAAAAAGTTAATATTTTTAATGTTTTTGACATTTTTAAAATGTTTTGATATTTTGCAGTTAATTCGTGAACCATCAAGAGATAAACTCCTCCCAGACATGATGCAGCATCCTTACTATTCACCTCAATACACATTAGTCCTAGAATTCACCGATTTACTCGTGCATCCCGAATGGACATACCAAACCGGCTGGCGCTTCAAAAAACGCCCTGGCCTCGACCATTTCCTCGAATCACTCAGCGGAACCTTCGAAATCGTCGTCTACACTGCCGAGCAAGGAATGACAGTCTTCCCGATCATAGAACACCTTGATCCCAAGAATCACATCAATTACAAACTAGTCCGCGATGCCACGCTATTCATCGACGGTAAACACGTCAAAGATATCGGTAAACTCAACCGCGATTTAAAGCGCACAATAGTCGTCGACTGGGACGGCCAGTCAACCAAATATCATCCTGATAATGTTTTTGCGATACCACGTTGGCGTGGCAACGATGATGATTTGACACTGGTGCATTTATCATCGTTCCTCAGCGCCATCGCACAGAACCAAATCGAAGACGTGCGGGAAGTAGTCAGATATTACAACACATTCGATGATCCTCTGATGGTATTCAGGGAAAAACAGAAGAAATTGATTGATATGGCTGAGGAGGATGCGCTGGCAAAGAGTAAGCAGAAGGATCAAACGTCACCGGTGAAAAAATGGACGCCGAGCTTCTGGAAGCGTTGATTATATTGCGAAATGTTGTCTGAGAGTTTATTTTTTAACAATGCTGTGGATTGCTTTCTAGTCGAGGTGAATAGCTGGCTAGAAACTGAAACATTGTAAGGTAAGATTATTTTGTGGTTACAATTGCTTCATATCTTGATGATAATAAACATGTTATAACTTTTATTCAAGTATTTGCATCTTTTTCTTGGTGTAAATCAATTTTTAGGAATTTTGATTAAAATTTCTAGCATTTATCTTCTTTTCGACGTCTGTGTAACTCTCTTTCAGCTTTATCCATCTCCTTGTAGATGCAGTCCATCTCAGTGAGTGTGTCAAACTCTTCATTGAAGTGTAAAATCTTGCGGCAGTATGGATGTCGGAGTAAATCACGTTTATCCCATGAATGTTTACCGCGTATCCACAACACGTCTTTCTTAAATATACTCCAGAAGATGAAACTCGTCATCCCGCCCATGGCGATACCAACAACCGTGAACAACGGCCATAATTCATAATGTTTCTTGCAGAAGTACAACCATGACATTCCATGCGGTTTCATTTTAACAAAAATTTCACAATCCGAAAAAATATTTTTTTAAAAATTCAACACAAATTTATCTACGAACAAATTTAATCATTTAATTTAATAATTGACATGTAAAGTAATTTTGTTTATGCGATTAACCATGGCACGCTTAAAAATTTATGCGCAGTCATCGTTCTTTGACTTGCGTCTCTTATCGCGTTGCCGCTGTCGATTATCCATGTCCTTGTAGAGCTGGTCCAGCTCAGTGAGTTGATCATAGTCCTCATTGAACTGCCGCAGCTTCCTGCTGTATGGATGCGCGAGTAGGTCGAGATTATCCCATGGAAATCGTCCGCGTGTGATGATGAAATCTTTCTTCACACAGCTCCAGCCGATGAACCCGGCTAATCCGCCGAGAGCGACACCTACCACTGCGCTCAGCGGCCATAACTCAAAGTGCTTATTCATGAACGCCATTACGGTCTTCATGGTGCAAAGTGAAAAATTTATGCGACGTGTGTAGAAATTTGATAGAAACTGACAGAAACTGAATATTGATGAATGGTTGTCATGGGGATGTCATCAAGGATGTTGAGATTATTTTAATCGAGATCGCTTTAATGTTTCCGCAAAGCTTACAAACTAAATCTTAATCAGTAAGTTTTTCAATGGCTACCTCCTAAAAATAACAACAATTGCTTAGAAAAACTATATGTATATATGTTTATGTTGTTTTTTTTGTTTTCTTTTGGTAATAATATTCTTATATATTACATGAATGAGTTTTGGTTTGTCAAAAAATGTGTGTATGCGCGCGCACATCCGCCTTACGAGCAACATATAAAAAGCTTCTTATTTGGTTTTCATTTAAATCACGTGCTTTTAATGCGTTTTAATTGTTAATCGTAGTTTAATTATGTAATAATTATTCATATCGTAATAGTTCAACACACGCTAAACACAATCGTCGATAGATGGCGCTTGTATTGCAGCAGAGACACAACTAAAAATATTCCAACATAATCAAACAGTATTAGTAATAATTAATAATTATATCGCCACCAATTATTAATTATTTATTAATTATCAAAGCACCAATGTTTCCATATCGTCTAATTAGTTGCTAGAAATTATAGAGAAAAACATCACTAGTGCACAAAAACGTCTTACCGGTTAAGGTTAGGTTAGGTTAATGATTAATGTGTTTAGTCTTTAATTATTTTTAGAGCACTCAAGCACTTGAATTTAAAGAGACGTCACTTGATTTATAGTTTTAGGTTAGGTCGTTGGGTTATAGGTTATTCGAGTATATTTTGTGCGCGTTAAATGTGTTTTAAGTGTGAATGTGAATGTCTGTGTGTGTGAAATGATGATATCTTCGTATGTATAATATATTTTATTAATGTATAATAATATTTATTTATTTATTAATCAAATCAATGAAATATGTCAAAATCGCTTTTTGTTTTGTAGCGTCTAAGCCTTATGTTGCGCATGCGCGCGCGCACGTGTCTAAAATATTGAGCGTGCGGCTGGTGCGTCTGGGAATAACGCTCCAGCCGCATGCGCATGCTCAGACGCTGTGCGCGTGCCACACGCGCATGAATCTCAATCATCACATCGTCCAGCGTATTATTTTTTTTGGTAATTTTTTGTTTGTTTTGGTGGCGATATACATAATTTCTACTAACACTTCTGGATTCCGCAACATTTATATAAAATTTAACAATAATATTTGTGTGTTGTTTTGTTCTGCTTTTTCATCTTGGTTGTTTTGTTTTGAGTATAACGAACGCAATGAATTTCATTGGATGGAAATGCGAGTCATTTGTAGTTTCTCGTATATTTTCTTGCTTTTTATTAGATATTAAGGTATGAGTGACATTTTTAGAGTCAAAAATTCATGCAGCAGCAGTGTGTATTTGTGTGAAAGTGTGTTTGCTTCGATATACTCGCAAATTCCAAATGTATTTCATCAGCGCAATGGTCCAGCCATGTCAATGTCAATTAAACATATAGCAACAAGTCGTGTTCAACTAATAAGTAACAATATATGATGATTACAACTATATAATAAAGTAGGCATTCTTTGTTAATAAAATATTCTCATTAAATTTTCATCCATCATCAATCATCATCATCATCATCACTCGATTATTCTACTCAACAAAAAAATTCACCATCTTTCCTAAATGTTGAATAATTTGGGTGTTTGTTGTTGCGAATTGTATTTCTCACACTAATGAAAAAAGCAAAACAAGCGCGTTTAGTTAATAATTAATTTTTTTTCTTTTGTTTTGTTTGTCTTTGCTAGAATAGAACCAGCGACGAAATCTATGTTTGCATCCGACAGTGTGTGCAAAATATTTTCGCCACGCGTTTATTGTTCGTTTTATTTCATTTTTCACCACCATGTTTCATCATCATTTATAATTAGTTTATGATTATTTGTTTGTTTAGATTCAACCGTACGTGCCGATAAAAAATGTCACACATACTAAACTTACTATAGATAATATTGTACGAGGCATACAAAAAATTGTGTACAATTTGCAAATTTGTTTTGTATTATTTTTTCTCTCTTTGTTTACCCTTTCGCCCCTCCCCTAAATGCAGTCCATACAGCATGTGAAGATAGCTTGAATATTAGCAATTGAAGAAAGCACCGATAATCTTGTTAGTTTTTTTTTTTGGTTTTAATACGTGATATTTTATGTATAGTCGAATTGTTGTATTTGTTGTTTGCGTTTTTCTTGTTGTTTGTTAAATGATTGTTCATTGATTTACCGCGGGGCCCGCTCTTGATATCATTTTTTGTTTGTTTGTTTTTTTTTGAGACGCAATTCCTGACCTGCAGTCTTTGTTAGTGTCGTAACTTAGGTTATTCAGCGATTACAGCTAATTGGAGGCACTTGGGAACTGTGCACTCCGCTCAGACAGACTACAGGCAGACTGAATGCGTTGTTGGCCGGTTGTTTGCTGTATTTTGTATTTTTTTGTTATCATCGTCAATGACAAGTCGAAGACTAAGTAATTATGTTTAGGAATTTTAACTGTTTTCATCATTTTTTTTTTCTCAAATTACATCAACCAGCTTCGAGTAGTGTCCCTAGATGTGACCCGCTTCCGGTTTTGGGAATCGCGATTGCATTCTGGGTAATGCGGCCGCGATTCGCGATTCGCGCAGTCGCAGTCGGATCTTCGGGCACAGTACGCACTGTTCATAAAACTATTATTATATAATTGATATATTACAGGTCTATACATATGTGCGATATTAATAGCAATATGAGCAGCAAAGCAGTTGATATTAGGATACCTTCTCCATCAAACTACTCAGCACAAACTTTTGCATTCGGCGCGCGGCGCGTTTGAGTGTGTGGGCGAGGCCGCGTGTGGACACGCCCGGTCCTGATTCGATGTACACGGCAGAGTGTGGACGACGGGCGTGTCGATGGCGTGGCCTCGCTGTGCGCCGGCGTGGCCCGGACTAGTCCGGCGGCTAGTCCGCGGCCGGGGAGGGGCGGGGCCGGTCTCAGACATCTGCGGAGCGCGAACTAAGGCTGGGCGTGCGGCTGTGTAGCACCACCTTGTGCCCGTTCTTGATGACGAAGCCGTCGCTCTCAACGAGCACGGCCGTTTGGCGGGCGGCGCTGCCCGTCTCGCTGTCGGCGTCGCCGTCTACATCGCCGTCCCCGCCGCCGCCACCACTACCATTACCACCACCAGCACCACCGTCGATATCCGGCTCGACGTCGTCGTCGGCACCTTCGTCGGTGTCGGTGGCGCCGCCACCACGCGTCCGCTTGTGCTTACGCCACGCGTTCTGTATCAGCCGCGCGCAGTATTCCTCGCGCTGCCGCCACAGCGTCGAGCTAACCGGCTCGTAGCCAACCTCGTTGGGCCGGCCCGACACCTCGGCCAGCTCGCCCGTCTCCTCGATCGCGTTGCCCTTGCGCGCGAAGAAGTCCTTCGTGAGCGCGTCGAGGATGTCGACACAAAACATTAGATCGCCCTTGCAGATCGGAATGTCCATCGACACGATCTTGTATTTGTTGGGCTTGTGGATCTGCAGCGGCGGCTCCAGCACGTCGAGGAAGTCCGACAGCTGGTCGTAGCGGATGTACTGCGTGCCGTCCGGGTCGAACTGCTGCCAGATCTCGTAGTACATGTCGTAGTCGTCGTCGGTGAGACCCTCCTGCACGTCCTCGGTCGCCTGCGAGTAGTTCTCGAGGATGACAGCGATGTACATGTTGATGACGATCAGGAAGGAGATCACCAGGTAGGCCAGCAGGAACGCGATGCCGATCGTCGCGTTGCCGCAGTTCCCCGTTTCGCCGATCTCGTTGTTCGGCTGCTTACAGTCGTCCTCGTTGATGATCCCATCAAGCACACCGTCCCAGCCTGCTGACGTGGACATCTAGACACAGAAAAACACCAGATCACACTCATTACCCCCACCACCTTCTAAATACATACTTGAAACAATAGGATCATCGACTGGCCGAACGTCTTGAAGTTGTAGACGTCGTCCAGCCCACTCTTGTCTTTGACGTGCATGAAGAACGACATGCCGAAGATGGCGAAGATGAACATAACCAAGAAGAGCAGCAGGCAGATATTGAACAGTGCAGGCAGTGACATGGCGAGGGCGAACAACAGTGTTCGGATGCCCTTCGCGCCCTTGACGAGCCGAAGCACTCGACCCACTTTCGCCACGCGCACGACTCGCAGCAATGTGGGCGAGACAAAGTACTTTTCAATAAGGTCACTCAGGACCAAACTGCAAATGGATAATATAACGACCACCACGTCGAAGAGGTTCCACGGCTCCGTGAAGTAATGGTATCGCAACGCAAATATCTTCATCAGGCACTCCGAGCTGAATATTACAATGAAAATACTATTGAGGTAGTCTAAAACCATTGTGAACGTCTCCTTCTGCTGATAGTGGTCCATGGTCATCGTCAGCATGTTCAGACCGATGAACAACATGATGAACATGTCAAACTTTTTATTCGTCACGATTTCGAACACGATCGCCTGTGGTCTCCACTGCAACCCAACACACACAAACATTAGAAGACATTTTGAAGCAAAAAGATTTTAATGTACCTTTGGTCTTGGTGTTGCTTTCATCGGCTTTTTGGAACCCATCTTTTTCATGGCATTGTAGTACTTCTTCTGATCTTCTGTCATGAACATCTCTAGGGACCCACCCGCTTGCAATCAGAATAAAATTATAAGCAACTATTGATCTCTCAAAATAGGTTAGGAATACTCATCTTTTTCTTTTGTTCGTTAAAGTTGTCGATGATGACACCGATGAACAAATTCAGCGTGAAGAACGATCCGAAGATGATGAAGAACACAAAGTACAGGTACATGTAGATGTTGGTTTCTCGAATGGGTTGTTTCAAAGCCTACAACAACATAACCTCAATTAGAAACTATTTTTTTTAAATTTTATTGGTTATGTACCTCTCTGGAGTCAATTGCGTCATTCATGATTTGAATCCACCCTTTGAAGGTGGCGACCTGAAAGAGGCACAGATACGCCTTGCCCACATGGTCAAAGTTCATCGGAGAGTTCTCCCACGTGTAGTTCTCCGCAACACAGGCGTTGTAATCGGGTATAATCTCGAAGCTGAGAGTAGTCTTGTTCTTATCCACACATTTGAAGTACTTGCCGGCGAAGAGCTGTACTCCCATGATAGCGAAAATCAGCCAGAAGATCAAGCACACAAGCAACACGTTGAAGATAGACGGAATGGCCTGTACCAATGCATTTACAACAACCTAAACCAAAAAAAATTAGTATTCTAATTGAGGTTATGTATGAGATAACATAACATACCCTCATGCCCTGCATTCTGGACATGGCACGCAAAGGCCTCAACGCTCTCAGGGTCCTCATGGTTTTGAACGCTTGAATACCACCCGCCCCACACAGTGACGCGATGAAGTTAATCAAAGACACCATGACAATAACGAAATCCAACCAGCACCACGCGTTGGTAAAGTACTTCTGGAACCCAAGCGCCAACCACTTGATCAACATCTCAAAGAAGAAGATCACCGTAAAGATCCGATCCATGTAGTATAAGATATCTTGCAGTATAGGCCGATGTTGAAGATGGACGTCTTCCAACGCCAGCGCCATACTACTCAACAGGATCATCGTGATGACAGCCGTTTCGAAATATTTATTCTCTATCAGCTCAAAGGTCTTGAACCTTAGATTACCCCAGCCTTGCCAGAATGGCGAATCGTCATCACCAGCAAGAAACGGGAATGTCTTATAGAAACCCTCTGGGAAGCAGTCTGCTGATTGTTCAATCAACTCTTCATCCGCAGCTACCACAATCAACTGCTCCCCAAGTGGGCCTTGACAATCGCACTCCTCCTCCTCAACATCCTCCTCAATTCCTAATTCTTCCTTACTCGCGTCTCGCTTCTCTTCGTGTTCGTCCTGATCGATGGTATCCGCCGAACAGCGATGGCTGTCGTCCTTGAAGCGATGCTTGTGACTGCCGTAGGACTTGTTACTGATCTGGTCATCGTCGAGATGACCTATATAAGTTCCATGATCAAGAATAGAGTTGCCGATTTTGTTCTTGTTGATGTTGTTCTTGCCTCGCTTCAGATTCGTATTGGAGTCGCCGTGTATGGTGAACTCCATGCCGTCCCCAATGGTCACCTCCAGGCGGTCTTTGGGACTCTTCTTGTCGCGGAACATGATGCCATCGGCGAGGATCTCATCGCCGGATAACTCAAGTCCGCCATCTCGCGCATCTAAAACCATCACCGATTCTAACATTAACAATCTTTTTCATTTTCGTATAAACCCACTGCTTTAAAGATACAAGATTACGTTTTACAGAATACTTGAACTCGCAATGGAAAAAAATCTCTATCCGTTTAGTAACAGTTGGAATTATCTAGCCTGATAGTAACCAGTTTTACATGAGCTCACAATATATATATGGATAATATGTTCCGCAAGCATTAGAGAGATTCATAAAGCTAGGTCATGTCTCAATTCATCTCCACAGCAATCCACTACCAAAAATAATACGCAGAGATACCTATATATATATTATTTATATATATGTACAGATCACACCTTTGGCACTATATATGCTCTAGTACTAGGTCAATGTCAGTACGCTATTTGCTGTATAGTAGGTCAAAAGAACGGTAAATTACGATCAATATACAGTACGCATGCTTCACATCAAAGTCTGATATATATACTGGGTCCCATTATTTGATTCGCTACACCCTGAACTCTCTCAAGGACCTAGTCATTCATTGAACTGATCAGAAATTATGGTTTCACTCACGTTTGTTGATTGTAAACAAGAGTACAGTTGATGTGGCTAAATACGAATATGTGTAAGTAAACTAATCTAATAGTACTGGGTGTGTTTGGTAATTCTGCGTCTGCGTAAGCAAAGCGTTTGAGTCATAATGAAATACGGTGCGGTTGAAACCATAGTTTTCGATCGCGCGAGCAATGATCAAAAATATACAGTGATGCGAGGTTAGTTATAGTTCAAGTCGTCAAGTCAACATTATATCCAACAGAACTACGATGACAGTAGTATGTGACTTACGATGGTGGCACGCGTCGCTAAATTTTGACCATGACGAGACCCACGCATCTGATGAAGATATAATCGGTATCATACATATTGTTTCATTACGAGTTTATTAGTGATTGCCTACGTTGAGTGTAATATAAAAGAGTTAGAATAAGAGAGAGAAGAGAGGTAGTTGTGGTTCACGTTTATTCTGAATCTGAGCAGCAAGCAAAACCAGCAAGCTATCAGATTGTGGTGATTTTGGATAAAAACCTTTGTTCCAACTGTCGGACGGTCCCTCACCTGACGGCTGGTCGGATATCTGATTGGTGAGCTTGAACCGCAGCATTTTGAACAGGTTACGTATGCTGGACTTGATCCATGCGCTAAAGCGTCCGATGCGGTCGAAGGCTTCGGCGATCTTGTTGGTGTCGTTGTCCGCAGCTGGTGCGGACAGGTTGGATGAACCGAAGTTGCTCAAAAGCAGGGCCAAGAAAAGGTTAAGAACCTACAAGGTACATCAAATCATTCAATCTCTTGTTTCTTTAATTACAGAATTTCTTCGAGGTTATACGCACCACAAGATTACCAATGACGACCGTCGCGAGAAAAAATGGAATGCACGACACGTCGCCCACCAGCATGCAGTCCCACATTGATTCAATCCATTCTCCGCACAGGACTCGAAAGACGATCATAAACGAGTGCATGAAATCGGTAAAGTTCCAACGAGGAAGGTCCTGGTCCAGAAACCGGTCCATATTGTCTAAAACAGGTATCAGTTAGTGTTAGAATATTTAGTCTTAGAAACTAGTTGGTTTTTGGGTAGTACCTATGTAGTTTTTGCCAAACAATTGCATCCCCATCACGGCGAAGATGAAGATGATAATACACAACACGAACGTCAAGTTACCCAACGCGCCCATAGTCCTGCCCATGATCGATATAAGCAAATTCAACGTGGGCCACGATTTCGCCAGTTTGAACACTCTGAGCAACCGGAAGGAACGCAACACTGACAGACCTTGCACACCCTCGAGGCCGAGCTCCAACAAGGAGAGCGCGACGATGATAAAGTCGAAGATGTTCCATCCCTCCTGGAAGTAGTACTTGGGACTCATCGCGATCAGCTTCATGGTCGCCTCAATCATGAACGTCGCTGTAAAGAACTGCACACCAACATAGAAATAACAAATTCATACAAAACAACTTCAAAAATACTGTAAATATTAATTTTAGGTGTTTATGAATGGTAAGGTGATGGGTCCTTACGTAATTGCCACTCTTCAAAGCCTTCTCTAGATCTTTATCCATATCGTGATGGTCCAGCGCCATGAAGAGTGTGTTCACGACAATGCACAGCGTGATGAAGAGTTCGACGAACGGATCGAACACAATCAACGCGACGTATTTCTGCAGTTGCAGCCACAACCAGCAACAGTCCCACACGCAGAGAATGTCGATGACCTTCAACAACCATTCGAGGAACTTCTCCTTGAGCGTGGGCTCGTCTTCTTCGTCCTCGTTGTTCGCTGAGAAATAATAAGTGGAAACTGTACGAGGAATTAGTAACGGTGAAGTTGACACACTCTTTTTTGGGGAAAGAGGTTTGTTTTGCTTGATGCGGCTTGTTGCTACTGACTAATTGATTGTTTGCGTGGCGGGCACGTGAGTTATCTCGGCCGCCTGGTGGTGCAGGTGCTGATTGATCCTTAACCAAAAGTTGGTTAAGTCTGAGTGCGTGTGTATCACTAGACACACCATTTACACGTAGTCAATAATGCCATCAAGCAAGGGGGTTGATTAGTTCAAAATTGAATAAAGCAGTTTAGAAGCTACAAAGGATTTCGACTACTCTCCGAGGGGTTCTAAGAGGGTTTTGAGAGGGTTCTGAGGTGGGTGTGGATACTTAAATTAGCACTACTCGACACACCATCGTACTATTTCAAAAATTCTGTGTGTGTAAACAAAAACAACGAATATTTAAGAACGAAAATTGTTGTAAAAGTGTTTTGTGGTTTTGATTGATCTACTTTGCATTGCTTGAGTGTAATATCCGTGAAGTGGAAGGAGGATATCAGAGATGGTTTCGGGTTGAGACTTTGAGTGTGTCTTGCAATATATATTCCGATGATGGTGTCGAGGAGGACAGAAAGATGAAAGAGGAGACCGGAAGTGGGCTGAGAGTTTTGACAATGGTCCGGTGACACATGAGAGCACGAATCTTACCTCCGTGTTCGCCGTCGCCGCTCTGTCGCCCGGCAGCTTGCTCGATGATGTCGTTAAGGACCATCACATCTGTACACACACACAAAGTAGAATCTTTATCTGAAGTAAACAATTGTGTTTACAATTACCTTTCATATCGACCATGGTTTGCTTTTGTCCGTTGTCGATGAATGGATTGTCTAAGTGCTTGAATTTCTCCTCGACCATCGCCCCGGTGGGTCCGTCCTAATCAATAGATCAATATTAATGTGTGATTGTGTTGATGTGGTTAGTATACTAACGTAGTCTCCTCGGTGCGCTTTGTGCGAGTATTCGACGATGTTGTTCGGCGGGTTCGGGCCGTTGCGCATGGACCTCACACGGAGTTGGCTCTCCTTTGTCATGGGCATCTTACCGTTGCCGCCTAGACCTCCGAGGAGGTCTCCGTGTGATGTGTAGGACATTCGGGACGCGTGCGACGTGTACGACGAATGTCGCGAGCCTAAATAGATACAAATCTGAGATTAGATTATATTCTACAACTGGTAGAAGGAAATAACTTGGGATTATAAACATTTTTGAAGATTCTACAACTCCCAAAACCTTCAAAATAGGTTTTACTTGTCTTAGAATATTCTACAACTAGATTTAGAATGTTTCTTTGAGGAAAATTCTACAACTGTTTGAAGAATCTAAGTTAGGACTATTTGGAGATTGTACAACTAGTAAAACGTCCCAAAATAGTTGGAACTTGTTTTAGAATATTCTACAATTAGACTTAGAATGTTTCTTTGATCAAATTTCTACAACTGGTCTAATTTGGGACCATTGGAGATTCTATAACTCCCAAAACCTCCAAAATTGGTTCAACTTGTCTCAGAATATTCTACAACTAGTCTTAGAATGTCCCCTTTGAAGAATTTAGTATACCTAAGTTTGTGTAGTACATGGGCACTACCATAGCACCATTTTCCTCGCTCATCGGCGTCACGGCGTTGGAGTCGTCCGCGTAAGGCAGGTGTTCCTGGGCATCCAGATACGTGGAGAGCACCAGCGGTTTGCGGTCACCGCCGGGCGGCACCACCATGCGCCGATTGTTCCGCGTGAACTGATGGCTGCCTCGGGAGCCGCGCCGCAGGTTGAACGGCGAGCCGGGTAGACTGAGGCTGGTCTGGACACGGGACATGGCATACGTTATGCAAGACGGCAACAAGATACCGATAGGAGCCATCTAAATCTAGCTCTAGATTTAGGGTGCTAGTCCTACTTCTAGGAACTTAATACTGATTGATAGCCATGTCACGTGTGGTAAATGGGGCTTACATAATACATACACAAAAATTACGCTATTCTATTGTGGTGGGGTGAGAGGTCATTCATCGTGCTATATACGAGGGTTACAAAGAGATAGAGAAAGAGGGGGGAGGATCAGCGTGAGAGTGGTGTGCAAGAAAATCGTACAAGAACCAAGGGCATAATGGCGGCAAAATAAAATTCAGTTGTTGTCCGGACACTGGAAGTGTCTTGATCTGAGTTTCATTTTTTTGTCTAAGATTTTTCTGTTTCGAGTGTTCGAGGCGATCAAACACTAAGAGACTGAGACTGAGACTGGGAACACATTGTTCTAAACACAACGTGGGGTTTTGATTCTTTGACTCATTGCGGTTTGTTTGAATATATGATGTCTCGGAACGGTAACGCAAACGGTAACACGAACGAACGTCAAAACGAGCTGTCAGGACACTTACAGTGCTGACTTTCCGCGTGTTGTTGGAATTTGTAGGAACTCTTCTTTGCTCACTCACGGAATCAAGCCCCTCCGATCGGATGCTCATCTTCTCTTTGTTGTTGTCGTCGTGTCCCTTTTCCTGACCTACAAATAGTTCGTAGCTATGACAGGAGAATTCCGAGGGCGACTTTACGATTTCTGTCCCACCTCCTCCGTCTGGCGGCAGATGCGGTGACTCGGCGGCGGCAGCGCGGGCGGCCGCGTGCGCCTCCGCCCGAGCCAGCTTCGCCTGTGCCGCTTCTTCCGCTTCCTGTCGGGGCAAACAAATCAAACATCGCGCACACATTCATTGAATATCAAAGCACTTGAGACTTAGATTCTACATCTGACTTACCCTGATGGCTTCTTCTTCGGCGGCTTCCTCCTCCTCGGCCTTCTTCTGCAGCTCATCGTAGGACATCGCTACAATGGCGAGGATCAAGTTGACCAGATAGAAGGAGCCGAGGAAAATGATGACGATGAAGAAGAGCATGTGCCAGGGTCCAGCGGAGCGTAGCACCAGTTGGTAGAGGTTCTCCCAGTAGTCCTGGGTCATCAGCCGGAAGGCGGAGAGGAACGCCCAGCCAAACGTGTCGAAGCTGGTGTAGCCGTAGTTGGGATTAGGACCGAAACCCTGCAGGCACGTGTAACCCGGTTTGCATTGTCTGAAAAAATCAATTCAATCAAAAAACCACTCAAAAGGACCAATTTAGACACCTACCCAGCACCAGAGGAGTTTCCGCATAGAGGTATCCCCAGATCATCTGTATACCAGTTAGCTAACAAAAAACACATCACTAGTACCCCCACTCTTAATTTAAGGTTAAAAAATAAGACATACTTTCATTACTCATGTGTCTAAACCAATTGTCATCCGTGAGGTTGCCCCAGGAGCCGTCCTTTGGAAAATTCTTTATACACTTCTGGGTGAGAACACCCATGTAAATTTGTAAACCCATCAGCGCGAAAACGGAAAGCGAAAACATCGTTAAAATTATCACATCTCGGAGATTTTTTACAGATTCTATTACGGCCCCCACGATTGTTTTCAAACCTATCAAACACAAAATCATGTGATTTCTTTCTTCAAAAAAAATTTTCTAAATATTTACCTGGCACAATGGCAACTGTTTTGAGTGCACGAAGTACCCTAAAGGTTCTCAAGGCAGCGAGGTTTCCGAGGTCTATTCCCATTGTTACATAACTGAAACGTTCAATCAGCAATCAGCATCCGGCGGCCATTTTGTCTCAACGTGATTCGCTCAGCAGAAATACAACAAGAACAATCAAACAATCTGAACTGTTACTATTCTCAACTAAACAAAGCTCTCGTCTGTAAGATTTAAGATTATTAGACAAAAATTACGGCATCCAATTAGTATTTCGATCATATTACTCGTATTGTTAACCACACTTAACTATCAATGTCTAGAACTGACGTTATATTTGTATGTTGTCTTCGTTTTCTATTCTAAATCAAAGGGGTTCTACTACTGGGAGGTTCGGGGGATTACTTTTATACTCTGTTTACGTTACGGTACGGCTGACTATTAATTAATTCAAAATCTAGAACGAATCGATTTGGTCACATGTGTTCCACTCACTTGAGATTCTGTCATTTTAGCACAATGGTTTAAATTTTTTAGACTTTTCTCTGTAGCTTATACTTAATAATTCATTTGTGAGCGTATTGATGATGACAATAGAAGTTAGGTTAGGTGTGATTGAATATGTGGTTGAAGAGCTAGCCGCTAGATGTCGTCTACGCTACTCACGCTAAAGCTATGACTACGAAGTCGAGCCAGTTCCATGCATCTCTAAGGTAGGTGAATGGTTGAAGAATAAAACCTCTCGCCATCACTTTCACGGCGGATTCGAACGTGTAGATGCCGGTGAAAATAACCCTGCAACATTGTGGTTAGATTTTCATATGACGCACGCCTAGTGGCGGCCATTTGCATTGTGTGGACACTCACTCTGTCGACTCTACGGTGGGCGTTGTGGGCATAATCATAAGAATGCAGTTGGTAAGGATCGTGGTGATGATGAAGAGAGAGAACAGCGGATGTACAAGAATATAAATAGCTACCCGGCGAATAGGATTGAATGGATCGAGTATCCAAAGAGCATTTGTCGCGCTAAATCTGAATATGTCTTTGCCTTTACTGATAACTACAAAAGTCTGCAACACACAACACACATAATTCAATTAATATTATGCAGGCGCAGTAAGTTGAGATTTAATAAGTACCCTCTGGTTACTACTATAAAAAGGGTCGATGTCCTCGAGTGGTGTGCTCGCGAGTTCCGGGGGGAAGCTGCCGTGTAGCCGAACCGGTAGTGGCACCCCCTGCTCCAACTGCTGGTCTGGCTGGGGGCCTTCATCTTCGTCGTCGTCGTCATACCGAATCTGAGCACACACACGCACATTGTATAGCATAACTTTCTCCACGCACTCACAACAGGACAAAAAGGTCGCATAAATTCATTAAAACAATTAAACTCGCTACCGGAAGCAGCAATTCAGTTCAAAACCTTTTTAATTGATCGACTTTTTCATAATCTTTTTATTTTCATGTAAAAATTATATTTTTACACACTAGTGCGTAAAATATTCCATTTTTGAGTGATTAAAGTGTTAATTTTGGATAAAAATGTGAAAAATTGTTTTTTTTACACACTAGAGCGTAAAATATTGAAGTTTCAAGTGTGTAAAGTGTTACTTTTGAGCACTAGTGTGAAAAATTGATTTTTAAACACTTAAAAATTAAAAATTTCGTTTTTTGAGTGAAAACTTCTTATTTTTTGCAAAATAAAAAGTTGATCAATTAAATTTGGTTTAATAACAATGCCATCACATAAAAATGTTATCCTAAAGAATTTCGTACCTTTGTAATCAACAATTTCATCATTAATCAACGCACATGATAAAAAATATTCATTTCCTCCGGTGTGAAATATTTACAATATGATGTACGTTGATTGGTATTAGTAAAATTAGTAAAAAACGAAATTAAAGTCGAGTTTTGAAATAGCGTGTGGGCGGATAAGTAGTTTTTGTACACTCTGGTCTCGCATGCAAAATAGCGGACGATTAGAGATGGGTACAAACAATCATGCAGACGTCAAGCGCTACTGGTACACGAATATGTGCAGCGCTAACAACAATTAAAGCGGGCCGGACAAGCAATTGTTATGTACAGTATACATATATTATTATTATTAGAGTATTAGTTTATGTGTGTGTGGGTTTAAGTGGCTTGCTGGTTGTTTGCTGGTGTGTGGGAAGAAAAAATCGATTTTCGACCGCACACGAAGTGAAAATACAACATGTTTGGTTAACGTCTAACGTGGCTTATCGATTTAATAATAACAAAAAATATCGTATGAAATATTGTGAAATACATAATATATAACAATTTAAGTACATTAAGTTGTTATGGACAATATTTATAAAAAAGATATGAAAGAAAAAAAGCGTAAAAAATGATAATTTGTTTGTTTTCTACTTAAATTCATTTATTTTTTGGATAAAATTTTATGGAGGTTGAGAGATAATTTGATTTTGTAGTGGTTGTTGACGTTTTATCAAAAATAAATTAAAACTGGACAAGATAAAAGCATTTCGAAAGAAAATTTATTATTAAAAGTTTATTTTTGGATTTGCATTAAAAAATTATTTTGTTTTAATGGAAAAACTAATTTTATAGTCTAAATAATGTGTATAAATTATATACTTTATAATTATTGAAAGTTATTCACTAATAGGAACCAAAATAGATTTCTATTTTCAGTGAAAATTCGGAAAGTTTAGTTAGTGCAACTTTAACCTCAAATATCTCAGCGGGTATCAAATAGATTTTATTCGTATAAATTTTGAAATAAAGTAAATTTATTCTGTTATCTTTTCTCAAAATTTGGTAATTTTGGGATAATAATTTATTGAGTTATGATTTTTTAAAGAAATTGATACATATTTTTGAGAAGAAAAAACTAAAAAGTTTTAATTATAAATATCTTAGCAATTAATCAACATATTTTTAATAGCTAAATTTTGGAGGATTGAGAATATAATTCTTTATACATAACCAAATTTTCATATTGATAAGATTATTATTTTAAAAGTTATTAAACAAAATCAAAAATAAAATCACTAAAAAAATATTTTTATGTTTTTATATTGTTTGCTCTGTGAAAAGTCTACAAAAACAGCATATACTCAACTTTGCATTCAACTAAACCAAAATCTACTATTTTATTTATATTTTCAATAAAATAATAATAATTAAAAAGTTTAGTGAAAAGTGAATATCATATAAAATTCATTAAAACTCATGCTGATAAACTTGATCTATATAAATCAACTAGAAGCAAGTGTTTCATCTGACGTCGATAGACTAGAATTAGTTGAGTTATAGTTAGAGATTAGAGAGTGAGAAGAGAGAAAGCTTACTTCTTTTTTCTTTTTCTTCCGTCCAAAACCGGTCTGCAATAAAGGTAGTACATATTTAACATCGATAAGCACAACGAACAGCAGTAATGCGTAGGCATCACAAGATAAGAGATAAATCACAAGATAATTAATTCGTACGAGTATTGATTACGTAACTAGAACTAAATCCCAAACAAAAAATCAAAAAATAAAAAATAAAATTTAAAAAAAATTCTGGCGACTTACACATTCATATCAATAATTTAATTGTATACTACATATTATTATTGTTATTAATATTAATATTAATATGAATGTGTGTATGTTCAATGTAAATGGGGGTGAGTATCGTATGGGCGCCATTGATACGTGAATTCCATCATTATACAAAGAGAGAGAAATAGAAGAGAGAGAGAAATGAATGGTAACAGAAAAATGTCCAACACACGACACGAATTACTACACTCATCAAGTACGATACATAAGTACGAGTAGAATCATCACATGCAGATATTTATATATATGTATAGATGTCGCAAGCACGGCTTTACAATTATTTATATAGAGATACAGATGTATATGTATATAAGAGATGAGAGAGATCCTGAAAGGATAATAGGTTTACACAAGATAGGTTTAAATCAAATTATTAAATATGCGTGATGATTATTTACATTTTTATGTAAATATTTTCAGCGTTTTTTGTTTTTTTGAAATTTTTGCATTTTGTGATGGTGAAGGCGCCGGGCGTAACGTAAGCGCGCCAAGGCCGTGTCTCGGTTGCGTCGGCGGATGCTTCAAGGATAAAGCAGCTATCCGATACCGTGCAAGGAGCTCAAGGAGCACACCGAACACAAAAAGGCACTGATTTCTTTTCGAACGCACAAGCACGCGGAAAACGCAATTAAATTACGCTCAAAGCTTTGTGTTGAGGTTATGTTGCTGAAATATATTTTTTTAGAGGTTAAAATATGCATAAATAGTTATTTTTATTTCATTCTATAACTGGATAAGTAACTTTTTATTAAATTTTGGTTTTTTATTTAATTTTTGCTTAAAAACTTTGAAATTTAAAAGAAAAATACTTTTAGCAATAAATTATTGGTTTTTGCAAATGGCAAATACAACCATTTTGGTTTATTATTTGTTGGTTTTATCAAAAATAGCAATTTTATTTACAAAATATGTAAATATTGCAATTAATTTTATTTTTGGTTAATATTTTATTTAACCTTAAAATAAAAAAGCAATTTTTGGAGTTTTCTGATAAAAGTTTTTGGTAAAAACTTTGTTTTTCAATATTTTCATCATTTTTTGCTATTTTCGTAAGAAAAAATCTCTTAAAATTACTATTTTTCAATAATTTTACAAATAATATGTATATTTCTATTCGCCAACCTCAAAATATTTCAAAATCTACATTTATTTTGATTTTAACCAAATTTTCCAAAAGAAAATCATAAAAATCTATAAAACTTAAATTTTCCACTAATACTAAACATATCCCTGCAACCCCCACGTGTGTAGTAATATAATAAGACGCATAAAATCACCCTCCTTCCCTCGATCCCCGTTAGCACCTTGCCCGCCCATCAGTGCAACCTTGCTCTCCTTGTACTCCTCGCTGCGGCATCGAGGTCTCCCGTTCACGCAGCGCTTCACCTTCGCCTTTACACCTCGCCACGCGCCAGCACCCCCCGAAACTGGGGAGCACAACACGCCGAGCGGGCCGCGGCGCTTCCTTACGCGCGCCGCCCTCGATCCGAACCGAACCGAACCAGTCGTTTGATATTGCGTCCCGTGTCCTGCCGATGGCTATACACGTCTGTGTACATCAACGCCATCCGAAAATAGTACCGTTATTCTATTCTTCGGGGCAGTGGCGGCGGGTGATTTCGAATTCCTCAACCGGGATTATCGATCCCACACTACCACCGGGCCTACATTATTCAGGCGCGTTCATACGATTTGATAATTTTCTGTCATGCCATTCGATGGGTATCTACAGGGTTAGGCAAAAACAATTTTTTAATTTTTAAATTTTGGATGTGGATATATGTCCAGAACAACGGTCCAAACTTTATTTTTTGAACCATAAGAGATAAATTAATAATTCTTTCAAAAATTCAATCTATATTCATTACCAAAACAGAATAAATTAAAAATTTGGTTAAATTTTATTTTTATACAGAGTAATTCAATAAAAACCTATTTTTTATTTTTTTCTTTTAAAATTCAATTTTTGGATAAAAAGTTTGCCACACCCTGTATAAATCATACCTATTATTAGTTTTAGTATTCGGATGAGTGACAAGTTGATGAGCTTGATGATGTTGACGATAATGACGATGATAAATGTTAAACTTTTCATTTTTCTTTTTTCGGAAGATTGCTTATGTTTTTGCGTTATTGGGTATGTGAATGTTGTTGGAACATACCTCTCCTTCAGCTCTCTTCTTTTCGAGCTCCTTAAGTTTGGCATCTTCGTCGGCGATTCGCGTTTCGATGGCCGCAAGCGACTCGCGCGTAAATGGACGGAATAGACTGCGTTCCTCCTCGGACAATGAATCAGAGATGTCGGACATATCTCCTCGCGCCTAGGCCCCCACGATACCCTGCAATACAAACCGACCATTATATAAAATACAAAATATTACATGACATAAATATAGATGAACTTGGAATAAGAAAAGTAAAGGTTGAAAGTTTATTGCAAGGAGAAAAAATGGAAATAACCGGATAGGGAATGGAAATACCGGTTATTTTTATTTTTTTATATCGGTTGAATAAGTTTGAAAATATAAAATTTTAATTTTTAATTTTTTATGAAAACCGGTTTTTCAAAATATAAAATACCGGTTTTTGAAAACATAAAAAACCGGTATTTTTCAAAATTTTGAATTATATTGTCATTTTTCTTGAAATTAATTTATTTTTGTATTTTAGAAATAACCGGTTTTTCCAAAAAATGTGTACAAAAAATACCGATATTTTTGAAACATTATTGCTTGTATAAATTCCCCGAAATCATATACATTAAAATAGTGGTATATCCGGTGTAAGAACGTGGATAACATGCAATATAACGTGTTTCATGAATAGACTTAAAGAAAACAAGAAGGTAAAACCCGCAGGAACTTGGAGGAAACTCGAGGCTCAATCAAAAATGTCTAATTTATGCCGTGCGTTGACGCCGCGTCGCGCTCGTGTTTGCCTGCAATGCGCAATAAATAATTCACCACAGCAAAATAACGAAAATCCAATTTTAAGCCACAAAAACAGCAAAAGAAAAACCCAGCTTCACACTAAAATACCAACACAATTAATGTAATTATTGTTGGTTAAAGATATCGATCTGTTTATGGCTTTCTCACACTGTTTTTAATTAGTGCGGCTTCTATTAAACCCATCGTTAATATGATTAAAACGGCTTAAAAACACAACAAGATATCAACTGCTCATTTTCTTAGTTTATCACTTTCGGTATCAAACCAAACAACATTGGGATACACACAGAGACAGCTATTCAAAAGCGACGCAACCCAATATACACACTCGGAGTGCGTATATGCATAATAGGTTGCATATGTGTGCGTCGACGTCACATGCCGATATAGGAAAATACGAGTCTCCGAATGCGGGTTTGCGGGTGCGCGTTGAGGGAGGGTAGGAGTGTGGCAAACGGAACGAGCACACGGCCTCAATGTACGTGTAAGTAAGTGTGAGTGAGTGGCGCTGCCGCCGCCACCGCCGCCGCCACGGGCGGGCGGGTGCCCTCGCGGAAGGATCGATATGTATGCCACGGCACGGCGCGCTCCTCCGGCACGCGGACGTAAAAATAGGACAAGAATTTCGTGTTAGTCAAATGAATTGACTCCATACTTTATATTTAACCTATTTGACGACGAATATCGATACCGCACCAACACCAATCCACGCGCAATATTATAAAACTACGTCATAATCACCCCCTGCAACGGTCAACCAACACATTATAAGGATTAATTTAATCCTTTATTATAAAGATTTACATCGGCGCCTCCACCAAAATTTAAAAATAATTTTTTTTGTTAAAATTGTTTATTATTAATTTTATTAGTTGTCATTTGTCGTCTAGAGAAGCGAAAAGTCGAAAAAACGACGCGCAACGCCGCCACGAATCAATAATGTTAGTACGAGTAGTTTGTGCGGTTTGTTGCAGTCGTTCAGCGCCCAAGTCGGCACGAAAATCATGCATTGAACATGTGCACACTCACACATCGACACCCATCGGGTCGAAATAATCGCCACATCAGCAAACAATGCAAAGCATGCCATAAATGTTGTGTTTTTCGATATCCGCCAGGCGCCTCCACCAAAAAGTCAGAATAATCAAATTTTAAGCTAATAACGCGTGAATTTTGATTGGTTGTTTGATTATAGTTGAATTATAAACCGGAAATCTTAAATATTGAGTCAGAAAATGTTTGTAATCTAGGTGCAAGTTATTTGCCCGGCGCCTCCACCATTTTTGTATTGTATTGCTGTTTAGATTTGGATTCTTTTCTGGTTGTTGGTAGTCAACTCTCGATTTTGTCTCGTCTCGACTTTCTTAAATATTATTTTCCGCTTTCTGTTTTGTTTGGCGTTCGCCGCGACTATTGTAACTTTTCCGGCTCGAGTTTCGAGCCGCGTTCGACGTCTCTCGAGCCACGAGCGCGAAAATCCTAGTTTCGGGAAGACCGCGGCGCTCGGATCGATTTTCCGCATGCCGCGACGCTCCTTCAAACCGTCGTCCAAACCCTCCAAGGTGTTTGCCCATTCATATTACTTGACGTCGCGCGCTGCGCAACGCAATTCTAAGTCGGGCGTTGACTGTCAAAGAACTTTTTCTTTTATATAAAAAAAAACAAATTTAATAAAAATTATTTTATGTGTATGTGAGAATATTTAATTTCCTTTTCCGGTTTTCCGGTTTTCCGGTTTGTGTTATTTTGTGCGAAATGTTTTGTAAATATCGCGTTACAGTGTCCGGCAGTGGCCGATGATGATGATGATGGCGGTGGAATTGAAATTGGCTCGCTTCCGCGGCAGCTTAATTAAATTGCGCGGGAAAGAACTGTCCTTGCATTAGCATATCGGGTTCCGTGCGCGCAGAAAGCCACTAATGACGCCCGTGATGGCGATGGCGATGCCGATGGCGATGCGTGCCCGCGTTCACCGAGAGCGTATTATGTTTCCGGGCGAAATGTGCGCCACTTCGCCTCGCTTTCAATGCCGGCGTCGATGAGCCGCGTGTCACTTTGCGCGCCACACAACATTAATCAACTAAAAGTGCTTCGCAATTTAACTAGCTGAACTTAATCATGCTTCAATCTTCATGGTCGGCGGTGCGATATTTTTGTTCGAGTGCCCATTATGCAGTCGTTTTTCATCACTCATCGATATTTCAATCGTGACTTTATCGGAAATTAATTCGATGCGCAAATTTTCTAAAACCGGAAAACCGGAAAACAAAAATAAAAACCGGGAAACTACGTAAAAACATTTTTAATAACATAATTATCATCAACAACATTACCAAAATTAGTAATTATTTGTTATTAATGAATAATTTCATTAATTAAGAAAATTATTTGTTAATGAATGAAAAAAGAAATAAATGAAAAAAAAGTATGCGTCAGACGGGATAAACATTGCATACGTATCGGTTTATATCAAAATTCCAGGATTAGCGCTGAAGGAGCCGAAAATTCCGGGAAGCATGACGCCCCGCCTTGCTTCGCGGAGCGCGCCGCTGAGTCACACGATATGATGCGTCGCTCAACCCCTCGTTTTATGCTTCACTCGCCGAGAAAGCATTTGCGCATATTCTTCCTCGACAACCCGTTTTCATTTCGTAAGTACATACGAAAATGCCAAAAAGGAGAAGCTCAAGAAGTGGATGAAAAAACTTGAAATAAACAAATTTATGGCCGAAACACTTCTATTTAATTTCCACACAGTTTTCCACCTTTACCATCCGGTTTTCCGGTTTTCCGGTTTTAGAATTTTAGTGCTTTCTGATAGGTGCTAATCATATCCATGCATTTTAACAAGTTCTAACTTGAAAATCGATAGAAAAAACATTAGCGCAAACAAATTTGCCGTGGCGCAGAAAGCGGAAAGCACACACAAAAAACAGCGCAAGAAAGTACAGCTAGTTATGTTGCTGTAACGATCTTTATCGCCGGCGGTGAAGTGACATGAGACTCCAAGGGGTGGTAGGGGCAAGAGATCAGGTTCATTCAAGTTCAACTTATATTTACATGTGGAAGCATAGAGTGGAGGCGCCGGGCAAACAGTGCAGATACACACAAATGTGTTTAGCGGAAAAGTAAGATTTGTGCTCGGCCGGCTATGAATGGGTTCGGCGCGTATAAACGTTCCGCGTGATTTGCGATTGTGTAATTGCATTATTTAGGGAAGTGCTATAATTGGATTCGCTTTCCGGGTGTCACCGGAGAGTGCGGGGCGGGAAACGCTTTCACTGTCTGCATTAAACGCGCAATTCAGTTATCTGCCATAACCTATACAACCTATCAATCAATAGAATATTTATAAATACAAACACACCGGTAGGATTTGTGGATATTCAGTTGTTTCCGGTTTGAATTTGAAAAATGAAAAAAACAACAAAACGGACGGCACTGGTTGGAAAAAAAAAAACGTTTAGCGTTTCAACGCGCGCCTCAACTCGCCGCGGGGCATTACAAAATCGATATTTTCCGAAAGCAGGAAACTCCTGCCAGCACACACGACACACACGCAACACGCGAAAGGACACACGAGGCGCACTTTTGAGTGGCGTGTCATGATAGTTTAAAAACTAAAATATGCGGAAAACAACTAATTTGCATGCGTATATTGCCCGGTAATTTGCTTGAAAATATTATTTTATCTATTTAAATCAAATTTAATCAAAATCACACCAACTTCCGGTTTTCCGGTTTGAGTTAAACCTCATCAAAACAATAATAAAATTTATTTACATTTTTAGAAATAAATTCAAAGAAATAATATGTGAATATTTGTAGGTTTTCCGGTTTTCCGGTTTTTGGTTCAATATGAATACAAAAATATATTAAGTAGCGAAAAACTTCCATCGAGTAGTTTTTATCGATTGCGACTTTTACTTCGGGCCACTGGAAAGGGAAACGACGATTCTCCTGCCTGCTGGCATCGGTTTTCCGCATCGTGTGCGTGAAGGTTATCCCCTTTAGTTTTGCGCCAGCGTTTTTATTCACTAATAAAATTAATACGTTGGAGCAATCGAGCGGAAAAGTAAATTATAACCTCAACTTAAAGGGTGAAACATAACCGTTAATAAATTTAATTCGAATTTGAAACACGTTTCCACTTTGAGTAGTAGTGTATAGATAGTGGCAATGCATGAATATTATATTGGTGTTTGGGGGTGGTAATTGCACGCCATTAAAAGCCGATCGATTTTAGGAGTATTTCCGCATAATGCTGGTGATAAGAATTTTGTGCCTGCGGAAGTTTGACAGGCGATAAGTTGACGGAAGTAAATTTTTTTCAGGGGCTGGTGGAATAGAAATTGGATAGAAATAGAAACGCGAAAGGTGATCCAGGCCGGAATGATCGCCGCCGCCGCGAGCCGCACGACTCCGTCACCCCCTATGCGACAGAACAAATCGATAACAAGGAATGACCCACAAACCGGTGCTCTTCGCACACGGAATGCGGCTGCAGTGTGTCCAATAGAGGGGGTGGCGGCTACCGCGCGCGCTTTACTGCTTGCTGTACTTACATCAACTTTCTTTGTTATGAATGTATGTCCTTGAAAAATCATGTGGGATATTAGTCTTCATTTATTGCTAGTTGTCGTGCACAACGTCGTCGCAGAATACCAGGGCAGGCTGCGGCTGCGGCGGGGGCAGAGCACATGCCGTTCGGGAGAGTCACACTCGCGTTGCTGTCCTCGGTCGCGCTCCGGGGGCATGACGAGTGAGAGACGCGATGGGGAGAGTTAGTTCACGCGCGAGCCCGCACCCCCGGCCGGACGAGGAGGAGGCCGCGTACCTCGGATGGTGCGATCGCCATTTTCCCTCTCAGACTGCAACTTCCATCTTGTCGCAGCGCGTACGCCGGGCCGCACACGAGTCGTCGCGCGCGCGTCGCGACTACCGCCTGATGAGAGTGGGGGTGTGAGGTGGTAGTGGTAGTGGTGGTGGTGGCGCTCCGGCTGCGCGCCGCCGCCGCTCGCCCGCAGGATTTTATCAATTATGCAGACACATGCTACGCGACCGTCACACGTTTTCGACTCTCTCCCCCACCCAACGCTCAATCACTCAAATTTTTCGCTCTTCCAAAATTTACGAAAATATTCGCGAGAATTTTACCAACGCACACTGCACGCACTAATCACACTCACACATTACTACCCTATGCGCGCGAGTTACGGTATACTGGTTGCTTTTTTCGGCGCTCCGGTCGGCGCGCACCGTCACACCGCCACTTTTCAAGTTACACGCCAGCCGCGCACTGAACCGTCCTCGGCGGGGGGGCGCGTGCGCCAACCCCGGTTGGCGGAGCGCCGACGCATTGCCGCCCGCGGTCGACACCTGTGACGTCATCGGCGGCGTTCGTAATGTTGCGGAAAACGTCGCCATGGCTACGACGAGCCACCATCACACGTTACGACACGCGCTCACGTAACGCCAAATCAATACATGCCACAACCCCAAAATACAGAAATCTGTAATCTTCAACTTCAAAACTACAAATTTACTTTTTAAACCATCAAAAAATATTAACATTTACCGCTTTAATCGCGATTTAAAATATTTACATTTAAAAAGCATTGATATCCGCTTTTAAACTTCAGAAATTCAACACCAGATGGCGCTGCAAGTATCAAACGTAAGATATTCAAGGTTGTAGGCAGCACGTGCTATAGTCGTGCATGTATATTTGATGGATGCACGCCGGTTGGGTGGGTTGCTAACGATTTCCTTAAAAACCACCCCGCGATGTTCTCAATTTTACACGAGCGCCACTTAACGGTGAATAATAAATAATAGACAAATCAATATCTATTGAATGTATTGAACTTTATTTGACGCGTCACCGCGTCACACTTTTCATTCATCCTTTATTTTATTTTATTTTTTGATATGAAAAAAAAAAGTAATTAATTTTTAAAACACGTTCGTAATTTTTTTTGTTTTAAATTTCCCTGAGGATTTTCCAAGCCCCAAGGAGTGTAAGGAGCGTTTGATGTCAACAAGGAGTTGACTTGTCATCCTTTGACATTTCCGGCGTAATTGTACGTCACAGCAGATATTATTTATCACGAATGACATTTAACATTTTAATTTTTTCTTCTCTTGCTGTTTTTTTTATATTTCAACGATTGAGGGATGATTAAATGACGAAGGACGAAATTCACGCACGAGCGCATACAGGATATAACTTTACAAAGTTTTTCTGTGGAGTGATGAGCGTTTAAAATGAAGAAATGTTTTTTATTGTTGCGCTTGTTGCATGAGTAGAATTATCGATTTTTTTAATAGTCCTAAGAGGGTTGGTCGCGTCGCGACGGTTATTGATTAATTTAAACGTTAACATATCCAGTTATCGATGTTGTTGTCGGCGAACTGTAAAAAAAAGCCAGCAGCAGCTTCGTTTCGTGTCTTTCCGTTTCGCCACCCCCTCAACGCTAGGGCAGTCGTGACCTCGTTCCACATTCATATTTTTTATCGTGTTTTTCGTGTCTGCGCGTCTTCACCGCGGCGTATTAATTATTAAACGATTCATATCTAACAATATACTTCAATACTTGGGTGTTTCAAGTGTATGCAACCAAATTTACAAATGAATGTAATGAATTGTCAGGCTGGACACGAAAAAATTAATTTTTTATTTGTATAATTTAGTTTTCATCGACACATAAGTAGAAATTGTATTAGGGGTGGTTTTTTACGCCACTACCTTTGACATTTCTACGTCTCATGACACTTTACAAATGAACATGCACACAAATTATAATCTACAGGGTAGTTATATTTTTATTTGATACTAAAAAATATTTAAACAATAAGGGATGATATTTAGGGGTGTTTTAGACGGGGTAATATTTCATGTCGATGCGGTGTGGTATAATCGCGAGTGGAAATCTGCTATCGCAAAATTGACCGCCGGAACAATAAAAATTTATGTGGGGTGTCAACCACCGCCGCTGCATCATTTCTCAAAGCCTCAATAAAGTATTTTCTACGCACGTTACATAAATATCCACGCAGCGATAAATTTCATAACGGCGATAATATCTTAAATTACTCTCACACAAATTATGCAACCAAGTATACATCTAATCCCTCCAAAAAAAATATACGTTGAGGTTAGGATTATAAAGATTGAGTTTAAGCTCCCCAAACAAACAGAAAAAGTCAAAGAGTCTTAAAAGCTTTCGCTGGTCGTAGGTTGCGCCAATGAAAAAGTGTCGCAGCAGGAATTGTTTAACTGCTCTTTCATTCTCGACTATAAATTCAAAAGGCGCATTGAGCCGCAACCCCGAGAAAGACCAGCGTCCGCTCCACTCGAAACGATTCAATGCCTGCAACTTGAAAGCTCAACTGCTTGACATGTTGCCTACGTACATATAGACACACATAGGATGCAGTTATATTGTCTATGTGAGTCACTACTCAGTGGTTGAGTGTGTGTGCTTTGGGTTGCGGAGTACGGAGTGACAAATAGGTTTTGTTTTTACCCTTTGCGGTCCGCTTTCCGCCGATATAAACATTCCATTTACCTAATTAATTCGCCGCGAGCGCCCGGAGTCGATTCACCGCACGACCACACCGATGGAGAGAGGGCCATTTATTCGCTCGACCAAGACGGACGATTCAATTCGAATGGCCGCATTTATAATTAGAATGCTGAGTTTTACCAGCCGCGCGCGCAGTGCAATTAGCGAAGGGGGAATGACTTAATCTAAGTCTAAATGAAGAAAAAATGAAATTTATTTATTTTGATTTAATTGTTTTTTTCTTTTTCTTTTGTGTGTGGTGTTTTTATTTGTGGAGAGTCTTAGGATGTCCACGTCAGTCTTAATGGATTTGGTTTCCGTTTTCTGAGATTAAGTGCTGAAATCGGATTTACTAATGGCGACCGTTTTCAACCGGCGTAATAATTCACTTAATTAAGAGGAAAATTCTCTTTTTAATATCACAGGTATTTTTTTATGAAGTAAAAATTGATTTAGTTTGTTTTTTGCAATTTTAAGGTATTTGTTATTAATTAATTTTGATGAAATTTTGGGTTTTGGTAGAAAATAATATTGTTTCTTATTTTTAATTAAAAAAATCATAAATTTTTATCTCATTCCAGAGATATTTGACGCCAAATTTTTTTTTAATGCAAAAATTGAATTTTTGGCGTTTTTAACACATTTCTGACACTTTTACATTCAATTTTCATTTAATATCAAATTTTTTCACTCATAAAACACACAATTTATTATATTTTATCATAAATGCGATAAAACTACTGCTAGAATATCAAAAAATAATTATTTCTTCAAATTATCATAACTAATGTGTTCTAAAAGTGTTAATTATCAAAGTTTGCCATTTAAACAGTTAAAACCTGAAAAAATAACAAAATTTTTGCAGATCTAGCGAACTTTGCTTGCTTTTCTTTCATGAAAGCTGCACGAGGTTAATATCATAACGGTATTCATGAAAAATTCCCTATTCATGGAAAATCCAAGCTTAACATTCTTAGATCTGCAAGATTTTCCCAAGAACCAGAATACTCCGACTAAACAAACCCAATTAAATGTTGATATTAAATTTTCTTCTGCGGAATTTATGAAAACTTCGCATAACTAGAAATATTCAGCGTTATAAATTATTTTTAATTGTGTGTTTTTCCATCATTACCGAGTTTTTTCAATATTTGAAGCATTTACACTTGGTGGATTTATATCAAATTTTGTGTGGAGATAAATTATAAGATTGTTTATAAGATGGAATTTGTTTTAGGATGATATTTAATATCAAAGTTGAGATATTTAGTGTCAAAGTTTGAAGTTTTTTAAAATAAGAACGTTTTTTGTTATTTTTGCTTTTTTTAAAGACTTTTACGTAATTTTTCTTGAATATAAAATTTATTTTATAAAAAATAACAAAATTCTCTATATTTTGCAAAAAAAATTTTTTGAAAATCTTGAATAACAACTGAGATATTTAATGTTAAACTTAATCAAAAAATTTTCAAAGATACTAATTGACTGACCTACCTTGTACCTCGTAAGATGAGTCCCTGTATCTTGCCCAAGATGCATACACATGTCCGATTGCTTGTCAATATTTATTCGAAACGTGCCGTCCGTAGATCGATGTGGGGGGCGGCGGGTCCACGGCCGGTGGCGGGGCGGGTCGCGCGCGCCGCCGCCGGCGGACGGCAGCGCCGGCGTCGCGGCGTCCGCGTGCGCCAGTATGTTGCGAGCGTCGCCCACGGCCGCACCGTCGTCGTCGTTCACGTCGCGCCGCCGCTGCCGCCGCCGCCACGCACGGAAAGCAGCGCCGCCGGCTGTGCTCCACTCTCAATTCTCACGTTCCGAAACGCGCGTCGTGTGTTATTCTCACCTCAACCATCATTATTTCTAATCGTAGCGCGCGATTGCATCAACCGCCTCTCTTGGTGCGCGCGTCTTTGGTTATGTACGCGTTCGCAGTGCCTCCATTAAAAATCGTCGCTTCGAGTGCATCGTGCTTGTGCAGGCAAGGCATCCGCTAATTCTACAATGTGCGGAGGTAACAATCATCTACAATTCTAACCTCAAATTTAATCAGAATTAGGTTATACTCATATAAAACAACATAACCTTAATTTTTGTTTTGTTTGCGTCTTAGACAAGTCAATGACATTTCGCAGGCATAAAAAATAATGTTCATTGTGGTTATGTCATACAGTCATTCATTATCACTCTCTTTAGGGTTCAGAAAACCCTCGCAGAAAGAAAAAAACACATAAATGTGAGTGCCAAGAACGCGCGCTTCGCATTATTCAAATTTGCATGAAAAATACATGAGTTTTTTCGGTCCTGGTCGCCATCCAGGACTTTGAAATTCCAAACATTCCAAGAACTAAATCTCTGGATGTGCAAAGGGTGAATTTGCAAATTCATGTCATCGCTTGCTAATGACAAGCGTTTGATGTAGTGGCGCATAGCTATGTCTGAAAAGGGGGCGGTGGCGCTTGCCGCCGCAGCATACGGCGGTTTGTTATAATTGCATGCGCGTATGCCGCCTGCCCTCCCGCATTCAGGCTGGGCCCATTGTGTTCGTGCACAATGCGCGCACCTGCGCGCAGTTTACTGCGTTAAGAATGGATTAAGCAAACCTGCGCGACCTGCGAATGAGGTGCCCCATGGTGACGGCGGGGGCGGGCGAGTGATGAGGGTTTAAATTTTGATTAGCTCCTTAGTGCGCGAACGTTTACAAGCTCATATATTACGGATTTGCGTGCGTTTTGACGAGGTGGAGTTTGGGGAGTTTTTGGTGAATTACTAGTGGTTACGGTTATTTGAACAAGATGAAATTATGTGGGTATGAAGAGGATGGAAATTTCTATGGGATAGTGAAAGAATTTTTGGGGAATGTTTTATAAAAGTTGAGATATTTGATGTTAAAGTTTGGAGTAATTACGGAATTATTTATTTTGTTTTTGTATTTATTTTTGATGATTTGGAGTACTTCCGGTTAATTAAACATAACCAAATTTGGCATACTAATAAAGATGTAATTGTTTTAAACAATAGCGAAACAATCAATAAAAAATATTAAATATCTTCGGAGATATTTGATGTCAAACATTTTATTATTTTTAAAAAAACATAAAATGCACAATTTTGTTTAGAAGCCATTTTGTAGTATATTAAATTAATTTTATTAAATATTTATTACGCAACTTGATAAAAGAAGAGTTTCTTTCTATTTTCCCAAAAAAAGTTTGTTAATATCTAGCACAGAACCCGAGATATTAAATAATTTACAAAAATTTATTTAAAAACTTAACATTTTACTAAAATTAAAATAATCACTATTTCCAATTGGTTGATTTAATCAAAATTTTCAGAATAAATACCTCACAAATTACCCCAAATTATGCCATAAATTCCACTCGAAAATTCCTATCACAACCAGAGTTATTTAATATTATTCGCAGATATATAATACGTGAGTTTTGAATTGCTGTGGTTTTACCCAAAACCGTGTTCAGGTGTGATTCGATATCCATTAAGGTGGAAATCACGTTAATGCAAGACTGTTTGCGATGCTAATTGGCACGGCTATTTGCTCAGCGACCATGATAACGATATTTGCGACTGCTGATAGCGCGCGCGCCTCGCTGATAATTGGCCCGATTGGCGGTCATGCGCGGTTGCCCACCATCTCACCGCTACAACGTCCACAGTACATCTGATAGCTGTGTATTGAGGTTATTTTCGGCGCGTCGTATTTATATCTTTTACAATTCGCCGCTCATCAAGACATTTCGCTTTAAAAAATGTCTGGTGGCTAAATGCGGGTAAAAATAGATTGGTAATGGTGTAAATAATGCAGTAAGTGACTTGTCAAGCGGATTGATCGAAGGAAGACAACAATAATAATAATAAAAAAGAATTTTAGATTGAGGAGTGGCAAAGGAAATTGACAGGTGGGAAGGGTAATATTATTTTTAATTAGAGTTTAATTTTAAAAAGTAAAAATTTAAAAATTATTTTTAAAAAATTTAATTTTTTTTGTTCTTTGAGAAATGAAAAATTAAATTTTATATAAATATTATCAGAAAATTACATTGAAAACATAAATTTTTTAATTAACAGTTTTTTCACGGTTTTGAGATACAAAAAGTGGTACTTTAAGCACGGCCGTGACTAAAGTACTTTAATCACGAGTTTTAGTCACGGGGTGGAGCTTGCGCCAGAGTGGTCGTAGAAAAAGTGTAGAAAAATTTATGTAAATTTAACTAAATTTACAAAATTAATATTTTATGACATTTCCAATCATTCCCTAAATTATAAAATAAAATACTATCATTCAAATGTCTCAATCATCATTAAAATACGAGTAATCACCGCTTAAAATCAAACATTTTATCAATAAAACCAGCAATTTATTCCATTAATATTTCTGACACATTTCATCATCCAATTTATCCACAATCATCACTAATCAAACGCTCCGCAATTTATAAAATTTCAAAGGTCAAAACATAACCACATCTTTAGTTCAGAATTCCCATCAGAATTTTACAATTTTCGCTGATGATAAGAAACGCGCTGCGAGCGTATCAAGCAATTTGCGCAAAAACATCTGCACAGCATCAGTGTTTAGATTCCTCGTCGCAATCATCGCAGATGGTCCGCCTCGCTGCCGCTGATGGCCGATTCCGCTGACGCTGATGTCAACCCGTAATGTTGTAATGTGCCTTCGGTTGCGTAACACCACTCTCTTCCCGATCCGCATCCCGCTCCTCACCGCTCACCATCGAGCGATGTCGTTTTCTTCGCATGTGGTGCACGTGCCGTAAACAAACGCCAATTGACTTTCATCTCCATATTTACATTTGGATTATTTTCATCTACACACGTCACAAAAAAGAAAAAAACTTGTAACTTGCTCCGCCCATGTACACGTCATCATAGGACGGACAATGTTAAAAATCTAAATCACGCGCATGCGCATTAAAAAAAAATTCAATTTAGTGTTGATTTAATGAACTTGTATGTTATTATCACTTTATTTACACCTATGGGGGATAATTTACGGAACTATATTTGATATCTTCCGAGATATTGGCAATCAAACATTTTATTATTTATAAATACACATAAAATGCACAATTTTGTTTAGAAGCATATTTACATTCGGATTATTTTCATCTACACACATTACTTGTAACTTGCTCCGCCCATGTACACGTCATCATAGGACGGACAATGTTAAAAGTCTAAACACGCGCATGCGCATTAAAAAAATTAATTTAGTGTTGATTTAATGAACTTGTATGTTATTATCACTTTATTTACACCTACGGGGGATAATTTACGGAACTACCCCAATTTGCACACCTTTTATAAAAAGGGTGGAACTGTTGACACACAAAAAAAAACGTTTTAGCGCTTAAAACAACACATTATAAGCGTTTAATTTTTTCAGGGGTTGTTATTAAGGGGTGATTTTTGCGCCGATTAAATTTCCGTCCGGCGTTGACAGTCACGTTGGTCAACAATGAAAATTTGAACCCCAGAGCCGCGCAGAAGAGAGTTTTCTCCATCGCGTAATCAATACCCGTTTTGCATGTGAACAGACAACGCGCCGTGTGAGGGGTGGGGGGTGGCGTGTACCAACGAGTCTAATTTTAGCTCCGGCGTCAGTCAAAAGTCGAAGGAAATGAAGCCAAACAGCAAAAAGTTTGTTTTGCTTTTCTGAAATTAAAAGAAATTATTACCAAAGGGTTGAAGAAAAAAACAACCCCCTTGATAATATATATACAAACATATTCTATGTATTTGTGTTGTTTTTTAGGTTAGTATATGTAATGCGACAAAATGGCGCAGATCATAAATCGAAACAAAAGCTTCTGACTTTGGGGGTGGTTGTTGGGTGGTTGCGACGTGGAAAATACGCGATGCTAGATTAGACTTTAGTTCCTGGGGGTGTTTTGCACTGCTGATGTCGTGCTTTCGGCTTTTATAGCCTGCGTCTCATCCATCGTTACAAATTCATACCAGCCACCCCCGAATACAAACATGAGGCAGACAATCATATTAATTTCACCACCGCGCAGTGTAAGACGGCGAACGGGGCGAACTTTTAAGTTTTTAATGCGAAAAGTATGCTAATGTATGCTAAACATGCTAAAGCCACGAGAAACATGTGTAGGAATATGTAGATGGCGCTTTTAACATGGAAATTTGCCGCCCCTTGAAAAACTACGTTTCTTTAATCAGATCTTGCGGAATTAGAAGAAGAATTATAGGTTATTGTTGTGTGTGTTGTTGTAAAAAATATAGATGGCAGCACTGCATTGACGTCGTAAATCACAAACGTCTATAAAGAGGAGTATTGTTGGTTGCCGACGTGTTGACGGTTAATGACCGCCGAGAGAGGTTTATGCACTTTTTGCGCACTTTTATTGCACTCGGGCGACGAGAGTCGGCGGGTTTTATTAATTGTACTCCTGAGGGGTTGTAAACTGCAGTGAGAACATATATTACAATAACCAGTTGAAAACAACGACAATACCTGCAGAATTTTAAGGTTAGTTTAGTGAAATGTTAAAATTTTATATTTAAAAGTTTTTTAGGTTATAAAAATTATGTTGACGATGTAGAAAATAATATAGAAGGACTGTAAAGTAATAACCTTAGTTAGAATTTCTTATCAAAGTCGAAAGCTTTGAGCGAAAAGCTTCGACAAACAAATGTTTGGAAGAAGGTTGCAATTCCACGAAACGCGAGACAAAGTTTGCACAAAAGATTCGCAATCTGATATTAGATTCCCCGAGACTTTGAAAATAATTAACATATACACGTTCTATGTGAAAAGCACCTCATTCCGTTTTCCGTATTTCCGTATTTCCGGACGAATTCTCAAAACTCTATTCTTAACGAACCGAACCAAAGATTTTAATGTTTGATTATGCGAGTATTCCCCGAACAATCCGGTTTTCCGGTTTTCCGGTTTGGCAAGCGTCTCCTATCGCCGGTTTGGATCTTCGTGCGCAGCCAGCCGCGCAAAAACTA